GTCCTAACCTGATGGTGAAGGTCACGGCAGCCTGGTAGAGCAGACGCCACGTCCCTGACACCTTCTCGCCCTCCACTCTCTGGGCAGGGGCTGCACCGCCAGAACCAGCTGGGACCTTGGTCTGATGGGTACTCGGGAAAGGGCACCACAGATCAGCCGTATTTCCTCCTCTGCAAGAGGGCACAGCATTTCCTCTGTTTGGCTTGAAGGGAGGCGAGAATGCCCGCCAAGCCCTCGACGGCCTAGTCAAGGAAGAGGCAGCGGTTGCTTAGGGGGGAGAGGCTCTATTTCCGGTGAATGATGAGGCTACCATTTGCCAAGGAATAGGAATACCTTCAGATCCACGCAGGTTTATAACAGGCACTGACGGTTCCTGCAGGCTCTACAGGGTCACAGGGTGACATATCCTGACCCTAGGCTACCACACTCGGCCACTGGTGTTCCCACCCTCACGTGACAGTCCCTCAATAGCAGCCTTGCCAGTCATCCTCCAGACAGGCTAAGAGGGGAGACACCCAGCCCTGAAATATCTCTGAAAGCAGAAATACCGCGATGCCAGCTGCTCGCTGCCTCTCTGCAGCTCCGGCAGCTTTGGGGCCATCCTGTGTGGCCTCACCCCTACCCTGTCTGCTCTTTCAGTTCCCACCTCCTTGTACAGCGTGGCCATCTTGTTGGGGCCTGGCAGGACCTCTGATTCTGAGAACACTGAAGACTACCTAGGACCGGATAGTTGGTGACCTTTCTTAGAATCCTTGCATTTTAAAAAGCCGTTCGTAGAAGGGCAGTTAGTTCATGGAGAGCAGGCCACCATGATGGAACTTTATTTCCAGTGCCCTGGTGTTATCTTGGACAATGGTGGCTCTTGGTCACTTGAGTCCTTGTTTGGGGACTTTGGTCAAGCCAAAGAACCTTTGGACCCTTGGAGGGCAAGGAGAGGGAGAAGGTGAGGATGAGAGTCTTGCATTCAACACGTGTGTTAAAGGCCCGTGGTAAGCCAGACACTGGACTTCTCTGGGGCCCAAACTCAATAGGAGGCTCAGAGAGCAGGACCCCGGGAGAGGGTCCTTGGTTTGGTTCCAGGAGCTAGTGATGAGTTTGGAAAGATGAGGAGACAGTGAAGAAGAAGGTCAGAAAGCAGCTTTCTGAGAATCACAAAGGATGTTTCTCTTTAAATTATTGTTTTTAATTCACGAGAGAGTGGGAGAGAGAGAAAGTACCCTCTCCCTAATAGGGCAATCCCTTCTCCATTTCTCCTGCCTTTTGAGATTTGGGGCACGCACACACTCTTGGTATGTTTTTCAAGCTGTTGAGTCAAGGATTCGAACCACACAGTTGGCCATGTGGGATCCAGCTCTCTTAACCACCAGGCCAGAGTCTGGCCCTATATAAGATGTTTCTTTAACAAGGTACTCTTCATCTCCCTTGATAGCTATGTGAAAATGACACCTTGAGGTGCGCCTCCAGGTCGCCTGGAAAAGGTTTCTGAATAGCAGAGGATTCTTCATCTGGGTCTTCATCTAGTCATTTCTGCACGGGGGCCCTCAGTGTGGACCTCTGGGTCCTGTTGCCCAGCAATTATGCCAGGTTCTAGGAGCTCAGCTAGCTTTGCCTCAAGTGCTGATGCTTCACATTCTAAGGGCACCCTGGGGTTCAAGCCCCAACTAGGGTCCCCCACACCGTCTTCTACTATCATCCCGCACAGGAGGTAACTCAGGCACAGCAAGTAGAAAGTGTGTCTCTGAAAGCATCCACCCAGGGAGGCCTGTCCTTAGGAGGTGGGGCCAGAAGGCTAGAGAAATAATAAATAAAAACAAAAGTGAAGGGAAGCAAAGCTCTTGGGTGCCAGAACGGGGCTTGGCGAGGCTGCGGCTGTCTGAGTAATGGGTTCCACATTTGCCTGGCTCTGTCTCCAGCCACCAGGATCCAAGGTGCACAGCGGGCCTTCCAAGGGCCGGAGGGGATAGCCCAGCTGTGGCCAGATCTGGTATGGCCTTATGATGGCCCCCTTCCTGGCCGGCCATCCCACGGCTGAGATGTTGCTGTGAGCGCAGGATCCAGCACCCCAGCCTCGGTTCTCCCAGCCCCACCCCCGCCTGAGGCTCCTGGGTTCCTGCCGGCCTGCACAGATTGTTCGAGTTATTAATGCCGTTTTCCCAGAGATTCCATCTGGCTTTTTAATTGCTCTGGGATGGGGCTAGGATGCTTTGATAGTGAATTGGTATCTTTCCTATGTCTCCGCTTACGGTTTGCGTCAAATGCTCCATCCACGCAGAGGGGCATGGGGGAGGGGTGCTGAGAGAGAAGAGAGAGCAGAGACTTTCATACTCCAGAAGGAACTTTCAAAGGTGATGGGGGTTTGGTTTGATTTCAAGACTGAGGGAAGGGAAGGGAAGGGAAGGGAAGGGAAGGGAAGGGAAGGGAAGGGAAGGGAAAGGAGAGGAAGGAAAGAGGAAGGGGAGGGAAGGAAAGGGAAAGGAGGGGGGAAGAGAGGAGGGAAGGGGAGGACAGGGGAGGAAAAAGCCCTCCCATCCCCACCAGCATAGTAAAGAAACAGTTGAGATATCAATACCGCCCAGGCAAGGACATGCCCAGTGTCTACTGAAGGCCTGTGCATGTCTGGGAAGGGAAGTTCCCTTGGCTAAGCAAAGCCAGGGTTTCTGCTCCCCTTTGACCTTCATCTGAGCAGGCCCCCTCCTCTCCTGTGAAATCAGCACTGCAGGAGGAGGCCTGGCAGGTTCGTGCCTGGGAAGGAGGGGGCGGGAGTCCTGGGAGGGGCAGACACTCCTCACCAGCCCCAGTGGCTCATCACAGGTGTCAGGGCCAAACCCCATGCTCACAGATTCCCAGGAGATCCAGGAGATAAGGGTGACATCTGTGACAGCACCAAACCATCGGGAGGCATCAGAGCCGCCTCCCTCCCTCCTGCGGGGGTGGGAGGGGGCTCCTCCTTTAAAGCTGACGCCCCTGGATAATGCTGTAGGGGGAGTAGCCCAGTCAGTGGGGAGAGGTCCCCAGAGTCCGAGTTGAGGGATACCTGTGGTGGGGAGAAGCAGCTAGGAGTCTTGGAGGACTGGGTCCAGGTGGGGCTACCCTGGCCAGGTATTGGGTCAAAGCTGCTGCCTCCAGGAAGCCTTCCCTGGTAGACCCTACTGACACTTTGAGCTCTCCCTTATTGCACTTGTCACCCTTAAACCATATCTTGGGGCCCTGGACTGTGAGCGCCTCACGAGCGAGCGGGAGTGGAGTCTGCTGTTTCTGCCCTGTCCTTAGCACAGGCCCCGGCACACAGTAGGCATGAAATAAATACTTGGGCTGCCTTCGGTGTCTGGCGTCTTCATGAGACTGCAGTCAGGAGGGGAACTGTGGGGAGCCCTGCAGGAAGCAGTGGGTGGCCAGAAGGAAGGTCCCTTTGCTGGCCACGGGGCTGGTGCTGGGCAGGTCCCACCCGCAGGACCCAAAAGGCTCTCATTTCCCCTGCAGGCTGTCCAGGTTACTTGGGGCCACACTGGGGCCCATCCCTTTCCTGGGAGAGAATATGATTGGATCCCTCTGTCCCCTACAAAGCTCACCCTGAACGTCAGGAGGTACAGTAGAAGGAGAGTCCTTCCCTGAGCTGACACTGGAGAAAGAGGAAGCCCCTGGAGGGATGTCTCAGTGGGAGGGGAAGAGGAGGAGTGAGGGCAGGAAGGTCGCCCCTCCCCAACTCATCCTGGGACCAGTTCTGGGGGCAAAGGGGGAAGCCAGGGATCAGCCCCCTCAAACAAGAAAAACTGGAATTAGCGCTGAACTCAGAGAGGGTTTGCTGGGCCTAGCAAGCTGTGGCCTGCCCCAGGCCTCTAGGCAGGCAGCCGGGCTCTGCCTCCTCGGTTCCCAGGGCAGCGGGCAGGCTACCGCCTCCTCACTGGGCTCGTGGCCTTTCCTCTGCCAAGGGCGGCCATGGGTGAGGAGGCGGCAAGGCACAGGACAGAAAGGGTGGGGAGGTGGGGTGCGGGGCGCGGGTGGGGAGCTAACCACACAGGTAGGTAAAGCAAAAGCTTTCGGAATTAAAAAAAAAAAAGTGCTAATTTCTCAAAAATGCCCCAGTCCACATTGAGCTATGAGCTGCTTAGAGAACACGCTCGTGGCAGAGAGGTAAAAGTGCTTTATCGTTCACCCTCCAAGAGAGCAAAATCTGAAAGCACCCTTGGCCTCCGGGGCCACTTCCTCCTGGGCCCTGTGAATGTAAAGATGAGAGTCTGCTGTCCGTCCCTCGTCCCTCTCTAAGTCGGTGCCAGTCCACACAGAGCAGCCACTGCTTTCAGGGTCTCATCAGGACTAGGCTCTGGCTTGCTCCAGGGTAACGCAGTGGGGTGGGGGGGTAACACGGTGGGGTGGGAGGTAAGCGCTAGGGTTGGTTCCTTGACACCGTCTGCCGGTCCTGTAGGTCTGCGGAGACCCTCCTTCATGGGGAGGCTGGGTGGAAGGCGACTTAGCCCGTAGGCTGTTCTCTGCACATTGCTTGGGTAGGTTCTTGGGTAGGTCTGGCCACGTGACCCAGGAGAAGTAGGGAAAAGTGGGAAGGAGCCTGAGGGGCCTCCCATGGCCCAGAGGCCTACGAGAAAGCTGGGGCAAAGGTGGCGTGAGCGCAGCCTGAGCCGTGAGTGAGCTGAAGTGTGGCTGAAGGCCCCCTTGAACTTGGAGCTGCTGGGCCAGGCCTGTCCCCATGGCAGAGGGGTCCCTCTCTTTCCCACACACACACACCAAGGTCTCAGCTCCTTGACCCTCTCCACGACCCCTCACACTCGAGGCTCCTGGAACCTTCTCTTCCTTCTGCTGTGCATTTGTCTTGGTTGAAGGAAGTAAGTCACCCCTAAAGGTAAAGCGGGGCTCAGGACGGATGGGGAGTTAATGAAAGTCAGGATCGCAGCCACAGCAAAGGCTGCTGTGATTGTTTACCAATGTGACCTGGCCTACAGGAAATTTGGAAGTAGCTTCTTGCTGGCTTTAAAAAGACACCAAAATTTAGTTTGATACATTTATATTATAGATATAATACATAAAACATCTAACATGAAACTCTGTGTTCTCCCCCAAAAGAAGAGAACCAAACCGTCCTTCCCTGCTCCCAGCCCCAGCGACGTGTTGGCTGGAGGTCGCTTCCTTCCAGCTTGGGAGCCAGGGCCTCTGGCGGGACAGGCCTGCAGGCAGCCCAGGCTGGAGGGCACTGAGGCCACAACCACCACCAGGGAAAGCTGAAGGGAAAGGGGAAGCCCACCTCAACTCCTTGGTTTCCCGGGAACAAAAGCAATCCCAAAACCAAAAGAAAAGAGATCCCTTCCCCCAGCTGCCGACGGAGAGTCTCATTTTGGCAAGTATCTGAGCAAAACCAAAACAAAACAAAACAAAAATCAAATAAAATGGTGGTTTAGCATAGATGTGCACACTCACATTGCACGAGGCACCGCTGGGACAGAGAGGCCAGACCCGGGTATTGATATCGGCTGATAAAGCAAAATATTTGGAAAGCTTGTCATAACTCTGGTCCCTCTGGGGTGGACTGACTGTGCTTCATGTTCATATGGCAATGCCGGCGACATACAGTACAGACAAGGCTGACGGTCCCAGGGTCCCGTCATCCCCCCCACCCCAAAGCCAGATCCCTAGGTCTCCTCTCACCGGGCCACCACTCCCTTGAGCACCGGTTCTTAAAGCTAACCATGACCTGGCTTTCTGGTCTGACTAGGGGTGAAGGGCTCCCACTGGTCACCTGGTGATCCCTATCCAGAGAAAGTCCAGCCTGTTGCTGGCTGGAGGTGGGGGTGGGGAAGGAGAAGGTGGAAGAGGTAAGGAACCAGGGACCCTCCACCTTCTGGTAGAACCAGGGGAAGAACCTCAGGGTCAAAGCCCCTATAATCTTTTCCCCTCTAAGGACATAGGCTAAGGGGTGGCTGGGGCTGGCTCAACCGGATCTTCGGATCTTCATTCTCTGAACCTTCCTCCTGCCCTGGGCCTGCACCCTTCCTTCTCTCATGGGGCCTGCTGCAACCTTAGGAAGGACGCAGGAACCCCCCAAATAAAATGACAAGGCACATAATTGCTCCCCCTACTCGGTAGGAATCGGAGCAGCAAGTTTGCATTTCCAAGGCACAAGGTTATTCCTTAATACTAGAGTTGTTGGGCTCCCAGCTCAGCCCCATGGGGAATTCTCCCTACTCGCAGGGAGAAACCACTCACTGCCTGATCCCCTCTTAGACGCACCGTGTCCGGCGCAGAGAAAGGGAGGGGACACGCGGAACAGGCCAGGCTTTCTGGCGGCACCGGAATCTCCTAGTTCTGCCTTGTAAGGCTCCAGCAGCCTTGAGATCCAGCGACCCGAAATCACTCCCCGGGTCCCCGCCAGGGGCTGGCCCTGGGCGGTCCCGCGGCCGCGCGCGCCTCACGCGCAGTTGCTCATGGCCTTGACCAAGGAGCTCTCAGGCAGTTGGCGGAAGATACCCCGCAACGTGTCCAGTTCGCGGCTCAGCTGTTCCACCCGCTTGCGCAGGCGGTCATTGTCACTGGTCAGCTCCAGCACCTTCTGCTGCGTTTCCACATTGCGCTGCTTGGCCTTGTCGCGGCTCTTGCGCACCGCGATG